ATAATAATTTTACCGAATTGAGTTCTAGTATCCTTCTTTTTTCAACGATCAATACTTTAATTCCTACCTAGAGAGGGCCAAAAAATTTTGCATAACAAATCAACAATCAATAAGAGTGGTTTACATTTTAAAAAATCGAAATAAGGCCTTGCTTTCTTTATCTTTAAAGTTGCTTACTTCAAGCTGAACCGCATTAATTCATTGACACGATTTCCTTAAACATTTTATCGCATCCTCCACTTTGTACCCAATTCAATGGGAATTTATTGAGCGTCTTTAAGCACGAGCTCTCCGCACCAATACCAATACCAGAGCCAGTGCCACTACCAATACCAGTGCTGCTGGGAATTCAAATGGCTAACACAGACACTCGTGCATGGCGATGGCTGTAGCTACTCAATTGTAATGGCCGCTGGCATAAAATAAAGCTCACAACGAGCTCTACCCAAACCCAGAGCTACAACGAGGCACACCCACCGACGTCCACGTCCACGCCCACAAGGCCAACCAACACCTTTTTTATGCGTTTTCATTTGCAAGAGCCAAGGAAATATCTTGCCCACGGGGCGTATTAAAATCAATTCATTTAATTTTGATCAAAGCGAAATAAATCTTTGCGCTTTTTGCTTAATTTCCTTCGTTTTTCTGGTGGGGGAGGAAAATCCACAACAACGTCAGTGAGTAATTTGGCCCGTGTACATATATATTTATACAAGTATATAGGAGCTGTGCTGTGTGGCTGTAAAACGCAAAGTAAGACAAAAAGCACAAATAACAGGGAAATACCGTAAGCGAAATGAGAAATCATTAGTAAGTGAAAAGCTTGTCAATGTATGTGTAAGTACAAACACACATACACACACACACAGACTGCAAAGATAAAGACACATGAAAGGAGAGCGGCGGGCAAAAGTTTTTCCTGCTCCGCTTTTCCTTATCAATGCCAGCGACGGCAACTGAATTAATTTTTCAATTCGCCAAACGAATTCATTGACTTTTTGTGTTCGCCCGCATCCTGGAATCCTGCTGCCCCCGCTCTTGTACACCCACACAACCAGCTTCTTACACTCACACACACCCAGGATACTGATGCAGACTCCACGTTCCTGCTGGGGTATTAAAATCCTTTAAACATATTTCATTTCGAACGCTTTGCGGTCGATAAATGCATTTCACTTTGGTGGTTTTTACCCACACAAACACACACGGCACACACACATTATACGCTCTCACTCGCATGTGTGTGTGTGTGGGTTTCATTTGGCATTGCATACTTTTCGGCTGCTCAGATCCCTCTGCTTTTTCCTCCTTGGAAGTTGACTCCTTCCAATGATTTGCTGGCAAATTACTTTGAGGTGTTGCCCGCTGTCTCTCGCCTCACTTTGCCACTTTTCCACCCATTTTCCCCAACCCACCCACTCTGTGCCATACAAAAATTTCCAAATTCATTTCCAAAACAAACATTTAGGATGTGTGTACGAGTGTGTTGGGCTGGTTGTGTGTGTGTAAGCTGCAAGTGTTGCCAACCAATTTAAAAGTTTTGCTGTCGCCGTCGCCTGAGCGAAAGTAAAGCGCGCTCGTTGCCGCTGCTGTTGTTGTTCTTGTTGCATCATTTGGGGCCAAAAGAAAAACAGCCAAGTGCTGGCGGATCACAGGCAGATAGAGATAATAGTGCGAAATACAGTGGAAATTAGTGGAACGAAATAAGACAACGATTGGAGGAGGAAATAAAATATATATAGTGCATCGTGGGAGGTGCTAAATTTAAGGGTTTAAAAAATCTATCTTGCATTTTTTTCGGTAATTTTTTAACACAAGTAACTATACTCTAAGTTTGTAAAGTAAATAAAATAAGGAAACACGCCTAGAAAAGTAACCCTTCTAGTATATGAAAGGTCTTTCAGGGGTAAATGCCACTGTGGTTGGCCCTTATGGATGTCGTTGTTGTTTTTGTGATGCTTTGGATGGCTGGTTCCCTTTCCACCAACAGCAACTACTGTGGCACTTGTTGGCTCGACGGCTGCTGCTGCCGTTGCCGCTGCTGCTGCTGTTGCAGTTGCGACACTTGAGAAACTCGCAGTCGCTGTTTGTTTTTGCAACAGCGGTGTGTAGGTGCAACAACCCCCTCCCCCATTCGCCCAGTGTATGTGTAAGTGCTCCTCGAAAGTTCATGCACCGTGTGCCACTGCAGCTGTGTGTGGGTGTATACTGTACAGTGAGTGTGGCCTGCATATATAAATTTATATGCATGTGTCTGTTACGCTCTGCTCCTTTCGGTTTGCCGGCAGTTTGGGTCCCGGCTCCTCCTGGCTCCCTCGCATTTGAATTGGAAATTCAGCGGCGTGCTTAATTTTCAATTTGCAATCATTTGGCCTGGTAATCAATGTTTGCTTTGTCGGTGAGCGGTTGTCGACTTTTTCTAGTCCTCTGCTAATTAGTAACTAAGTGGGGCTCATCGCCAAGTCAATTGTCCCTCTTCTCAGTCTCCCTAGGTTTTATTTTTCTGGTCACCGCATAAGCCAGAGGGAAGTTATTTCATTAAGTTTATATGAATTATATATATAGAAATTGTGAAGCAAAATAGGTTAAATTGAAATTGAAGGACCGATTAAATATTACAAGTAGAACTTGATAGCTGAAATTATTTTAAACTATTTATTTAAGTGAATTGGTGTGTTTTGTGCGTAAAATGATTTGAATGACTGCTTATTTCTGTTGTTGCTTATTTAGAAAATAATCAATAATTATTTTTAGACATTCTCTTATTTTTCGATTTAGAATAATCAAATAAATGTTTGCCTCTACTAATTAGAAACTAAGATTCGCTCATCTTCAAGTCAATTGTCCTCGATTCAAAGTCATTTCCTAGGGTTTTTTTTCCTTTTCTGGCCAAGGACTAGAGACTGTAGACACTTACTCCAGTTTTGCACTCATTTCCCTGGGTTTTCCGCAACGGCTGCCTGCTTTACTCGTAAGCCAACCCCGCATTAAGCCAACTTACACAATGCTCGGAACCGGCAGACTCTTCACTTTCACCCCGGATCCGAGATCCTGCTATTTATGCCCTGCCAGTTGGTGTTGTCTTGTCTAGTAATTTTCTCACACTTTGCAGCGCTCATCAACGCTCCGCTGGCCAAAGGGAAAGGCAAACTTCGCAGACTCAAGTGTGGAAATTTTCACTTTTTTGCCATAATTAAATTCATTTTCAAGTTGCTCTTGCCTGGCTTTTTCTACTCGGCGGCTCGACGAGAGATGCCGCCCCACAGCCGCACTCAACTTTTCACTATTTTTAGTAGACATTTTCCATTTTTCATTACAGTCCAAAGTCAGCCGGAGCTCCCCTGCTGTCCCCCGTTTTCCGAGAGAGCCCGTTTCATTTTCATGCAGCTTCCTGTGCCGTTGTTTCCGGTTTTATGCCTGCCTGTGTCTATTTGTGTATAGTTTTTGCCATTAGCAACCGTTGTGCGGGAAGGGGGGACGGACATCCAGGGGAGGCCTACAAATTGGAGAAAATTCCCAATCCCATTCCCAGGCCCGGAATCAGTCTCTGCCTGTCCTGCCTTTGTTTCCAAGTTTCGGCTTAAGTTGTTTTTAAGTTGTAAATCTCTCCGGCTATGCAATTTCCTTGCCCTGCTGCCGGGCTGTATCAAATTTTTCATTTGTGGTTAAAAATATGAAAATTGTAACTGATATTTATGCTTGTAATGCCTACGCTTGACATTTCGGCCTGCCAGGCAGTGAGCATTTTTCGGGGGTGGTGTCCACAATAATTCATCTCAGAAATGCGTGTTCGAGTTTTGTTATTTTCAGATTACGTGTGCGAATTTAGCCATTCGCATTTCCTCCGGCCTCTCAGAATGTTACTCATTCAAAAATAGCAGAAAGTGATACTTGTGCGGCACATTGTGGTTTATTGGAATTTTTGAAAGCTACCTGCCGCACCCCGGACCGTCTGAGATACGTTTAATTGAATGTGTTGCCAGGATGATTTTGCCGTGCGACGCATACAAATGTTGTATAAATATGGAATACTTATATCGATCGCCTCGGGTATTTCTGGCCCGAGTTATAATTGCTGGGACACTGGCTTGAATTCATAAGCTCAAGTGTCTGATGAGTAATCTTGCTTAAAGGTTGAAGGGTATTTTCGTATTTCACTTTAAAAATCATCTTTCCAATTTTAAATTTTTATATTATTTTAATTGTCAAGAGAAACGATTTCCAAATTTCATATTTTAGTAATTTAATTTAACATTAAACTTTATATTCTGAGATAAAGCACTTTTGCACAGAAGCAACATTTAATTAAACTTTAATAATATATAATGCCAATGTTCTGGATACTAACTTTTTAAGCTTTCACAAATCCTTGACTGAAAATGAAATGCAATTATTTCGGGAAATAAAATTCATTCAATTAAATCCAATTTGAAAGCCAATGCTAGTTCGTTTAGAATTGCAAATGAGTGCGTTTACATTTTTCAAATAAATTAAATAGTTGATTGCAAATGGATATTTTTATATAGTTTTTAATTGCAGCTATCTAATGTTATTCATTAAAGATTAAGCGACTTAAATTATATTTGATTTGTGATAGGCTGAGTTATGGATTGTTTTTAAAGGCACTTGAAATTGGCAAGGCATCTTGTTACTTGTATTTTTTTAACACGAGATTATAACAATTTAATAATAATTGTTTTATGTAAAAATCAAAAATATCAAGAGTTGCATTGGGATGAAATGATTGGTTGTTCCTTGGAATCGAATTCTCATAAACAGCACTTCCCCCAAAGAATGATAGTTGTTGTGAAAAATTATCCCCAGCAATGCTGCCAAGCTGCATAAACCGGAGCTCAATAAACTGCTGCATTCGAGACACGTCTCAGGGGCAAAATGGCAGCGACATTTCTCAATTTATGCAACACCTTTTGCCGGTGGAAATTCCGCCAAAATTCGGAGGACATTCACCCGCAGAGGCGAAAATTTGGTTTTCCACTCACCTGGCTTGGAGTTGCTGCCAACTAGCTGCTGCTGCTGCTGCGACACATGCTGCTGCTGCTGTTGCTGCTGCTGCTGCGAGTGCTGCTGCTGGCCATTGTGCTGCAAATGGGCAGCTGTCACCGACTGCTGCTGCTGCTGCTGCGAGTGCTGCTGCTGCTGGGCGGCTGCCGCAGCAGCTGCTGCGGGATGGATGGCCAGCAGCTTCGTTTCCGGCGGCTTGTGCGGACCCATTGTGATCTGCGGGGCGCCCATGGCTATGGTCGGTGCAGGCATCATCAGGGTCGACATGGTCAGCATTATTCGCGAGTGAATTTTGGTCGCTTTCTAACGTTGCACGTTGCCCGTTGCCCGTTGCACGCTGCCCGTGTCCCGCTGTACTTTCTACTGCCGCTTTGTCTCTGCCGTTCTATTGATTTGCTGACCCCTCCGCTGGAGCTGGGGCTGAACTCGGTGCCAAAGGTCGTGCGTTCGCCTTTGTCGCCAGCTTTCTCTGGTTCTGGCTCTGGCTCTGGCTCTGGCTCTGGTTCTCGTTTTGGTTCTGGCTCGGGGCTCTGTCTTCTATGTGTGTTATGTGCGGAGTGCAAACTTATGAAATATGCTCGCCTCTATGTATTTTCACTTTTCGTCCTGCTCCTGACTGGGGGTTCCTTTATGTTATTTTTTGTTTTTGTTGTCGTGGGTATATATAGTGGATATAGGTATATGTATATATATATTTTTTTTTCGCCTTTCTTTTATGTTTCGCTTATGTGTTTGTTCAACCGGAAATACACGAACTCAAGCGCACTTGGCTTGTAATTTCTGCGCTGCTACATTCGGCTGTGTGGATATCGTTTCAGGGATTTCCTTCGCCTTCTGCCTGCCAGTAATCGCAAATTATTCTTTCAGTTCTTTTCTGTTGTGTCTGCCGGCAGCGGAAATTATAAATATTCCTGTCATGCGAGTTTGTGCTCGACGAGTGTGAGCACGAGTCGAGTACGACTTCGAGCCAGTGCCCCAGACGTCTTCTGTTTTAATATCAATGTCTGGTATGTAAAGTGTCAGCCAAAAAATAAAGCGAGAGAAAAGTGTGGAAAAAAGTCGAAACAAAAAGTGAAGCCCTGCTCAGCCGGCTCAAAGTCGCTAGTAAAGTTTGAAGAAGCAGATGGGCTGCAGCAACAACCACATCGGCGAAATCGCTGGCAATTATTTTGCCGGCAGCTTCCACTGATGATGGCTTTTGGTTTCGTCGCAACTTTAGAAGTCAGTGGCTGCAGTGCGAGAATCGTTCGCAAACACCGGCGCCAAAGTTTAATGAAAGTCGCCAAAGTTTAGCGATGAAGATGCAAACAGACTCTAGACAAATCTGCGATCATGTTAATTTAAACAAAAACAAAAAAAATAATAGAACGGCATGAGGGCTTCCTAAGACCAGAATAATTTGCCATTATTGCAATCAGAGTTAGGAGTCTGTGTTTCGAACAACGCACGAGCCAGGCAGACGAGATCAATCGCACACACAGGATATATTTTTACAGGATATACAAAGCGTTCGGTATACGTTCGTACTAGACCGCTGGGCGACGCTTTTCTTACTGAACGCCAGCAGCACACGCATTGGCCAAAATTCAGAGGCGCTGCTGCCACTGCAACGACGGCAGAAAGGCTGCCGATTTTCCTGCTGCCGATTTTCCCGCTGCCACGGCTGCCACAGTCGCTGCCGCCGTTGCTGCTGCTGCTGCCTCTGCTGATGCGTTTCCCTACATTTCTCCGAGCTCCGATGTCCTGGCGAACGAAGGCTGCCATCGCTGGCGTCGGTCATGAAATATTCACGAATGGCTCGCTCTCACTCGCGCCGCCGTCTCCGGCCGTAGCTCCATGCTCTCCGTCCGGGTCTCTCTCCGAACCGCCTTCGCCCCCGTCTGCGCCTCGGATTCCCAAACCCAATCCCAGCTGCCTCTTTTCCGCGCTCCGGGCGCCATTCAGAGCCTTGTCCTCGGCCTCGTCCTTTTTGGACCGTTCGGTTCGGTTCGGGACATCGCGCAGAATCCTGGCCACTGAGAGGGCAGGACTTTTCGAAGAAGCGCCAGACATATTTGAAATTTAGTGGAATATCCTTTAATTTTTATTTACTGTGAAAATAAAGTATAAAGTAAAAACCAGACTTGCTTGAAATAGGAAATAATTTAATATTTTATTCACTTGATTTAAAATAGCAGACTGTAAATTCCTTTTAACTGAGTTGAGTTGATTGGCTTGCCACTACAGCTCGTCAGAAGGACTTCGAAAAATGTCCTACTCCCATTTGCCAAGCAAAAATCCCAGTATTTTTATGGTATCTCTTAGAAACTGTTATACCAACGATTGCAAAGGCAAAAGTAACTGATTTCAATAAACACTAAGAAATGTTCATTCTTTTGACTTTATAAACTTGTTATGCTTTAATACTGTCATCTTTTAAACCTGTTAAAAAGTTGTAAGCTCCAGAGTGACTTTGTTAGATTGGCTTTTCTTGTCAGAGCTATATAGTTGCATGGCTTCACCCAAGTACATTTATCGAACACTATACTCGTCTTCTTGCTAACAATTTTGTTGCCTTAATTACAGCCGACGAAGGCAACCAAAACATGACAACAAAAAACGATGCAATCTCAGGTGTAGCTCCCCATTATTGCATTCCTTCTTCCTTCTTTTTGTTCCCGCTTTTTTTTTCTCTTATTAACATACTTTTCCGCGTTGACAGCCCTGACAGGGATAGCGACCAAAGCGTTGACGGTGTTTGAGGTAATGTTGCAAGGAGTCCTGCTCGAAAAAGTGGAGAAAGCCAACAACCGAATGGGAGAAGAGAGAAAAATACATAATTGCATGTAATTTAGCATGCGACATTATCATTGTTCTGCTCGTATTTAGCATAGAATCAACCTGGCACGGCACAGACGTGGGGTGCCCATGGAATATCCTGTGTGGCGGAAAACAACTCATGAGTGTCCTTTGTCCCTGCTCCCTAACTCACTGAAAAAAAAGGCAAGTTTGAAACTAAATATTTGAGAAAATTATAGACCTTATCTTCATATTTTTTCCCCAATTGCTGGAAATAATTATAAGGACTCGTAGCATTTTCTGATTGTCTCAGTTAAGGTTCTTGAAAACTGTCTTACAATTTATTAAACTTTTTTTCTCCTGTTTGTTATTGCATGAGTTTAAATGCAACACCAACAGCAACAAAAACGGCAGCAACTCAGCGTAATAACAAAAGTGAACTAAACAATAAGAAGCGGCCCTTAGAGCGATGCAAAAGACGAGTTCCTTTCTTGGGGTCTCTCCATGTCCTTCAGACTCGCTCCCTGATTCCGTGCATCAGTCTATGTGTGTATGTGTGTGTGTCATGACAATTGCCCTTTGAATTTTTTAAATCACTTTAAATGAAAACAACAACAGGAGCCCCTCCTCTGAGCCCTGCCTTTTGCCTTTTGTTCCTCGAGTTGCGCTTGTTAGGTAAATCAGCGCCAGCCTGTGTGTGTCTGTGTGTGTGATGGAGTGAGGGCTTTGCAGCAAAAACAACGAGAACAACGGGAAATACAACAATATCATCGTGCGGAAAGTTATAACGTGCTTAAGCGTCTTTAGCTGAAATGAGGCTAAAAATATTTGCTTATAATGAAGTGCAGGACTGTGTGAGTATGACCTGTGACCATGCACAAGTACAAATACACATACAATTGTTTGTTTTTGTGTGGCGACTCAACAATAGCGCATCGGGTACTATTGTTGTTGTGCTCGAGGAGCTCATCCCTTGCCCCTCACCCACACAGCCCCATGAGCAGAAAATTAAGGCATTGTTAAAGCCAATTAGGGTATTTAGTCGAGAGTCCCGTCGCCCTGCCAGGCATAGAGGGAGCGGAGTGTGGACACAACACGGCGTATGCGTGATATTTCATGGCAGATGACAGCTGCCAAGGATAAGAGCGCGAAACTGACAGGAAAACTTTAGCGTAGCTTGGCATAAACTAAGGCAATTCCTTTATAAAAAATAACGTTGGAGGTGCAGATGCATTTCGTGCAATTGAAGCTACGGCAGCTTTAGTCGGGTAAACAAATTTAAATAGAAATTAGGTTCGATTCTCTTATTTACTATCTTCATTCTTTTAATTATAGAAAGCCTAAAAAATACTAAATAAAAATATATACAATAAACAATTTTAATGGCAATTTAAATGCTTCGTCCAATTAGAACCTAATTTTAGGACGTGTGCCTTTGTTAAGAGGATTCCAATTTATAGAACAGCACAAAGCTTAAATCTTAAATCTCCCCAGCGTTAGATAAGCATTTAAAGGCAAAGTTATAAGTGCAAATTAATCGGGTTCGAGCCAAATCAAGCCCTGGGAAAACTAAGCCACAACAAACACGCCACTTCTTGACATAACCAATTGCCTGGGCTGGAGCCAAATAGGTCGACGGCAGCAGACCCTTTAAAGGACAAAAGGATAGACAGATCGTGGAATGGGGAAGCTGGTGGAAGTCGGAAGCGGAGCAACCGCTGGTGGTGCTGCTTGGGGCAAACACAGCTAAGCACCTTTTCGGCCGACACACGCACTGGAAAACGCCGGTCGAGACAGCTCGGAACGCCTCCTGGGAGGTCTTGGGACATTGATGGCTCAGCAAGGAATTTGCAAATTTCGGGCACCCCAAAACTGCCACTAAATAAATTCATGTTCGCATGCTCAAGACAACGACGCCGACCCGGCTCTCTAAAAAGCCAAATAAGTAAATTATTTATGCGGACCCTCCCCTTGGTTTAAGGTGCTACCTAATGGGGGTCACACTTGGAGATTTAAATTTTTAAATAGGTGTGTCAGATAATGAAAATAAGTACCCGGCCGGGGACCTTACCCCGGGAAAAGTACGAGCTCAGGGATGGTTGCTGGAGCGCTTTTCGGGTGTCACAGTTTTCGTTTTGCACTCTGGCGTCGTCTTCTTTTTTTTGCCACGGCCTCCTGATGTGGACACGGCAGCGTGTAGGCCGTGGCCATTTGCCTTTTAACTTGGCTAACGATAATTTGTTTGGCAACTGCCGTCGCTGTTGTGTTTTCATCGCCGCTGCGCTGCCGCTTCCGCTGCGTAATGAATTTTTATGCTTCTTTAATGTACTTTACGCAGATATGAAATTATGTGACCAAAGCGACCGAATCCTCCAATGTGCTCACCCTTCACTTGGAGCGCTTTCCGAACGGGCGACCAGCTCGACCGCCTGCCATGTTAATTATTAATATTTTTTAATTAAAATGTACTCTAGCCGAGCCAACAAAACTCACCCGCCTGTTAGGCAAACACGAGCGGGTGCTAAAAGTGTATGCAAAAAGCGAGTGAAACACAAATAAAATCTCACACACTGAAATAAAGGGAAATAAAGAATAAGCAAGCACTAAATCAACACAAAACTTTGTTGCAGCAAAAAATGTTGAATTTAAAACGAGTGGAGCGACTGCCAGCTCGTCAGTCTGCGGTCTGCCAGATAAATCTCCACTGGGTCTGGTCCCGTCTCTGGCTGTGGCTCTGGCTCTGGCTCCGGGCTGGGAAATGCCCGCATGAATTATCGCATTCAAATATAAGGCCTGCGATGCCTCCGGCCAAGTGAGGCCCATAGTATCCCTGCCTTCGCTTCCGCTTTGTGCAAGTGTGCCCGACTTAATGTAGCGCGAAATAACTCGAATAATTCAAATGTGAAACTGTAGCAAATCGTAGTGTTCATATATTCCGCCTGTCCCATTATGCACGGCCAAATTATGACTGCCAATAATCAAGAGAGAAGGCGCGAACATTTACAGTCAGAAAGAGTTACGCTAGGCTACGCACCCTCCGGCTGCACTTTATTTGACTTGAGTAAGTGAGGACATTAAAAGGAAATGTGATCTATAAATCAGGGATCCAGCAATAAGTCAAAGATCTCAGATCTATAATCTATAATAATTACTTGTTATAAATTGTAATATAATATAGTACAAGGTAAGTTAAAACAGGAACTCACTTCAGACTCAACACTTTAGGGCAACTAAGATCATCATAAATATTAAAAGCATTTGATTTTCCAATGTTACCTAAACATTTACTTTGCTTTGGCCCCATCAATCGGTGCGACTTTTGGTTTCAATGGCTTTCGCAGTAATTGCCCCAGGACTGGCCTTGGCCATTTGATGGCATTGGGAGCGCATTCCCAACCGGAAGCGCGTCCCATCGATTTGTCTCTGTCGCTGTCTCTCATTCGGTCGCCGCTCGCAGCCTCAGTTCCAGAGCTGGCACAATTTACTGTTTAAGTAATATTTCGTTACTTCGAATGGCCGGCGAACGGGGGACTACCGGGAGGGGGCATTAGCAACTGCAGGAGAGAGTTACACTGGCTGCACATAACTGTGTAATTTATATTGCCCATTTCGCTTTGAGGCGCACACACTGGCAAAGTGCTGCTGCTGCTGCGACAAAGTAAATTGTAAAATGTCACCCATAAAGCGTAAATTGTAACAAAAAGCACTCGAGGCCACGCAGTGATTTAAATTTTGTCGTCTGTAGGCTCCGGCTGTAAAGTTATGT